CAACTTGATATTTTGCGATCTTGAGGGTGCCAAGTGAAATTTAATAGAATAATTTGTCATATCTCGCTTGATACTGCACCAAATGCTCTGTAATTTTTCATGCTATTCTATATACTATCAACGCAAGTATGGCATATTTTTACATATTTTTAAAACATCTGTGAGGCGCTGGAGACCGTTTCCCACGCACAGATCATCCGCGGAGCTGGCACTGGATTGGTATCTCTGTCAGTTCCTATTCGTTTCTCTTCGGGTTTTTTTCAACGGGCGCGTGTTAATGTCCTCTACAATTTGTATCATTACCTCAACTCGATATCATGCGATTTTGAGGGTGCCAAGTGGAAATTAATCACATAATTTATTATATCTCACTTGATACTGGCCCGAATGTCCTGAAATTTTGCGAACCATTTTATATAGTATCAACGCAGGTACCTGGTATTTCTTTATATTTTTAAAACATCTGTAGGGTGCTGGGGACCGTTTCCCACGCACAGATCAGCCGCGGAGCTGACACTGGATTGGTATCTCCCTCAGTTCTTGACCGTTTTCCGTCAGGTTTTTTTCAATGGGCCCGGATTAACTTTCTTTACATTTTGTATTGTTAGTGCAAGTCGTGAATCGGCGTGTATGAGGAAGTAGCACGATTTTTCCACAAATAAAGCATGTACATTAGTATCTCTGTCAATTCCCATTCGTTTTTCGTCGGGTTTCTTTTAATGGGCCCGTATTAATTCCATGGTCATTTTCTATTATTGGTGCAAGTCGCGAATAAGCGTTCACGATGCAGTGGAACGGTTTTTCACAATTTTTCACAAAAAAAAGCATATACATTCGTATCTCTGTCAATTATGATTCGTTTTTCACCGTTTTCTTTCGTACATACTTGTAACAATGCCCTCATTATCTTATATTATTGGCGTCAATCGCGAATGAGGGTCTATGAGGCAGTAAGACGGATTTTCACATTTTTTCACACACAAAAGACATGTACATGCATATCTCTGTCAAATCTCATTCGTTTTTCGTCGGGTTTTTTTTAATGAGCTTGTATTAACAATCCCCTCATCTAATATTATTAGCACGCGTCGTCAAACAGCCTGTATGAGGCGTGGTCACTGTTTCCCACGCACACATTTCGCGCTGGAATGGGCCACCACTCGTATCTCCCTCAGTTTTCAACCGTTTTTCATGGGGTCTTTTGCAATGGAATCGCTCAAACGTCCCCTCCATCTTTTATTATTACACCAAGATAGGTCATCTAGTACAATTGTTAACATTGAAACAGCTCCCACGGCTCAGAGAACTGCATTGCTTACGTTAATTAAACTGTATTGACCCATTCAAAAACTGAATAAAACCATACATTCAACCTGACTTTATTATATATATATATATATATGTTTTCGAAATTGGCATATACTATAAACAGTAGTACTGTTCTCTCTTGTCATGACCGACAAATCCCGGGGCTCCGTCAGCGGCGAACCAATGCCGATAGGTGAATCTGCCGACCCGAAACCCATCCTAACCAGCCCCCAACCCCATGTCTGGCCCCCTGCCTTACTGCATGAGACTTGGCCAATAATCAGAACCTAGACCCTGCCGGTATTCCAACCTTACCTCCAGTTCCTGAGCCCTTGGCGCTCCTGGCATTCAGTCATGCCTGCCTTGTCTCCATCTGAACCACACTCATCGCTTCCCTCTATGTGGTCACAGCCATGCCCCGCTTCCGTGCATTCCGCACCCTCTGCCCACTCTGCACCCTCTGCCCATCTCTGCACCTTCTGGCCACTTCTGGTTGCCCTTGACACCTCTGGTCAGGTCAACACTCCCACTCCCCTCTGTACCTCTGTTGGCCTTCATGCTGTCCCTGTGTGACAGTGCTGGCAGATCAACCTCTGTTCGCGGACTTGTGTCGGCACCGCACTGACCCCGCTTATTTGCGGACTTGTATCGGCGCCGCGCGCTGACCTCCGCTTTTCCTCTGGTCATTTGTCACTTGGCAGCTTATCATTCATTCCTTGCCGAGTGCCATCTATTGTTTGCTTCCCTGCCAATATCGGCATTTGATCCCCTCTTTATTGGCACTAGGTTATTGATCTCATTCAGTTATTCATCAATAACCCTTGCCACTTATTGTTTATTGATCTATTCCTTGTTTCCAGTTCCCGGGCTCTTGTCCTTATTTAGTTTGACAATCCCCGCTTATCTCCGCACCGGACTGACCGGCCTTTCTATATTTCCTCTTGCCTATTTATATACCTTGTAAATACTTTCGGGGACCCCAGTTTGAAATCAACTAGAGTACTCCCCCCTGTCTGGTCTGAGTCTCTCCTTCTGCAAAGGGGGCTTCCCCCCCTCTGAGTCCGTGCTCGCGGAGTCCGCGCTCCTCCTACAGGTCCGCTCCGCCCGCAAGTCTTGTTTGAAGTCCGCTGTGAGTGTCAATCCGTAAATACGGGATCTCCCCCAAACGTCAAGCTCAGGGCACAGCGCTCCACCTGAGTCGCTGAGGCCGCGATCCCACTCTGCTAACCTTGAACAGCGCTTCTGGATGCGCTGCACATTTCCGCCTGCATATCCGTGCGCGCACGCTCCAACAGACCTCTGCATCACCTCCAACCTCGACTCAGACAGAAACCCATTCCATCTTCAGTCCATCTCCAGTCCATCTTCTGACAGCATCCGAGATCTCTGACAGTTTGTCTGACTCCGACAATAATCCAGTCTCTGACATCTCTTTTTCTTTCTATTTCATTATTAGCATGTAAAATAAATGGGTAAATAAAATTGAATAATTAAAATGCGGAGCAGAATCCAATGAAGGGTTCCATATAAGGTAAAATTGGAGAAAATTCACGGCAACACAAGGTGTTCTGTATAAAATAAAATCTGAAAAAATTGCGGCAATGTGGGACAACATTAAAAAAAATCAAAGCACAATATTCTATATAAAATAAAATCCAGAAAATTCATGGCAGCATGGGACAACATAGAATAAAAGATAGAAAAATAAAAGGAAGGTGTGCTATATAAAATAAAATCAAAAAAATTCATGGCAACATGGGGAACACTGTTTTATCAACTTACAAAGGAATTCCATGTGATGGGAGGTGGTTGGGGTGGTTGGGGTGGTGGATTTGGAGAAATGGCCAGAAAATGAAGAAAAATAACAAATAAAAGGGCCTCACTCCCAGTGCATTGCCAAAGAGGGGGGAAAGGCTTTTCTCATTCCTGTGCATGATTAATGGAGTGGGGTTCGGGGCAAGGCCCTGATGGCCCTCCGCAGGAGCAGGGGTTCAAGGGGCTGGCCCCTTGGTGTAAAAAATAATCAAATATGTCCAGGGGGGTTTGGGGTGCAGCCCCAGGCTCTCCGCAGGAGTGGGGCTTGGGGCAACGCCCCAATAGCTCTCTGCAGGAGCAGGGGTTCAAGGGGCTGGCCCCTTGGTGCATAAATAATCACCATATATCTTATTATTTTTTTAGCACATGGGGAACAATAATAACAAGGATGACATTGCATGGGGCAACGCCCCAGGGGGGTTTGGGGCGCAGCCCCGATGCCCTCCGCAGGAGCTAGAGACCGCTAAACGCGTGGGTGTGCGAGGAACGAGCACCCCACAGGTTAAAGGTCTCTAGTAAGGACAAAGGAAAAAGGAAGTTATGTCACAAGTAATAAAGGAATAGTAAGTTTGAGGGAGAAATATCGTCAATGTTGTTGACGACAATGACGACGCACCAGGTGACATTGCCAGAAGGACATGTGATGGTGAGCTCCGAAGAAGGCCACGGCATAGAGGGTTTTTGTCAGGGACCGACCCGGGGTCGAGAGCACTCAGGTGTATCGCCTGAGGCTGAGGGTCCGGTAGGTATGACGCGGGCGCGCGTAGCAACGGGCCTGAAGCAGACAAGGGTCCCTGGCCACTAAGACTAAAGTGGGAAATGTGTTATTGTTATTATCAAGGGAAGTGTAAGCTACTTGCCCAAAGTGGGAAATGTGAGAAGAAGGTTGCTTCTCAGTTCCCACTTAGGCTGTGTTTATATACATGTGGTTGAAGGCCATGTGGGAAGCGCCACATCATCCGAGCACACAGCCACCTCTGTCCGGGTACCTCCGTAAGAGGTCCTAGGAGCGTCCGGTGTGCGGGGGGTCGTCCAGTGTGTCCGGGTTCGGGCGCGTTACACTGCAGCTGGGTCAATGGTACATTGATACAAAGGAAGTCGTCCGTGTGATAAGAAAGGAATAAAGAGGAGAGAATAGAAAACAAGGAGAAGAAGAAAGGGAAGGGAGAAAAGGGGAAGAGGGGGGAGGTCGGGAGGAGTGGATGGTGGGGCACCGGGTTAGGTGGGGCCGGGTCAGGCGGGCGTGCCCTGACAGTTTTCCGAGTTTCCAGGTCACGGTACCCCAGAGCTTCTCCAGGCCCTCCGGGCATTTGCGCAGTTGTGGGAATTTTCACTCGAGTGCACCAGTGCAGTGGCACATGCACCCAAAAGGTGAAAGCCTTATCTAAGAGGGTAGGCCAGGTGGTGCACCTATAGTACCATATTACTGTGTTCCCGTGACGAGTAATAGGTGAGTTTATTTCCTTTTTCTATGACTCTGACGTATTTTTCTAACTAATTCTCTTATTAGTTCTGGTTAGGGTGGTTGGTTGGTGTTGAATATTTGGTCTTGCATTGGATAGGGCAGTTAGCCTTGGTTACCCTTTGCAAGTTGGATCCCGGATGTTTACGGTGTCTTTCATTTTTCGGCTCATGCCTTGTTTCTTGTAACTTCACTTCTTCTCTTTTGTTGGCGCTTCTTGCTGCTACTCTCTGTCTGTCTTCATCGTTACCCTCCACCTGCCCCATCGCCTCCTTTTTTTTGAGGGGGGGTTTTGTATCTACCGGCTCGCTTCAAATCAAGAGGCTTCGACATCTTGTCGGGGCCGTCGCCATGCTATCCGTTACGCCTTCGCCCACGCATGCATAGAGCGACGAAACGTTCTGGCTAAATTGGCTCAGCAAGAGAGAATTGAATTGGCCATAATGCAAAAACCCACAGAAAGTAAAGGTGTCTCAACAACCTCCCTTAATTTTTCGATTTGATCTTTGCAGCCCCCGACGTCCGAGTAGGTAATGTCTGGCTTGTCTTCGACTTGCATCATGGTGACAGAAGGGTCAATCTTTGGAGGCAATGGGATCTGAATTTGGTACTTGTTACGATCCACTCTAAGAAGGAGGATCAACGTCTGAAACTACAAGGTGCCAATTAGCCAGGGCTCCTACCCAACACGCATTCCTTCCTCCACATCAGTGGGCGCGACACGTTCACCGAGACAGACGACAAATTTAGCAATCTGCTTGATATTGATAACATATTGGTCTTCCTCATCGGCGCCTTTCTGGCCTTGTTCCGCACCTGGCCGATTCATGGCAGCTGCGCGAGCAGCTTTCTCGGGGTCCATACGGATAATTTTCGTGCATCGCGCAACCGGCAGAGGCTGATCTTCACTCATCCTCTGCTTGTCGGCGGCAATGTCCCAAAGGTTTGGAGGTGCAAGGCCGGTGTCGGACTCCTTAATGCCTTGGAGGTATTATGGGATTTGGCTTGTTAGATGAGCAACTACTCAACATACCCATCTCCTCGTTGACTCGCTTCTGAACCTCTTTTATATCACTTTCTACTCTCTTGAGTTGAGCAGCATACGGGCCTTGGCCCTAAGATGATAAAGTAGGCTAATGTAAGTAACATAAAACGGGGCCAAGCGTACGTATGTCTTTAATATTTGTATATCGTTGTCGTCAAGAGCTAGCAATGGGCACCAGAAAGGAGCGATAGATAACGTTCTGAATGGAAATCAGGATGCCGCAGGGTCAGCCGACCACCTACCTCCCTAAGAGAGGTTACCAACACCTTTGAAGCCGGCCTTAACGAGAAACTACAACAAGTTATCGCCCTAATAAACAAAAAGAGATACAGTCGTAAAGCACTACCGTGTTTGCTACCGTGTTTGTAGCGGGTCTTGGAAGCGTAGACTGAATGGCCGTGCACAAATATTGGTTATACCCCGGTTATACCCCTTTTTTGCCTCAGCTTGCTGACATACGATTTTAGCTCATCACGCTTACTGAACGCTGGAAACCTCCTTGTTCATGTCCATGTGCTTTACAACCTGGCTTATCCCTTCCCCCGCCTCGACACCAAGTGCACTCTTTCCTCTCCGTACTCTTGCACTACACCATGTCAACTTAGCGTTTTTTCACGGTTCGTGGCCCAAAATACGCCTTGGAAATAGAATGCAGCATCCCCCCCATAGACATCACCCTAGACTTCATAGTCCGCCACGCCACCCTACGATTCGCCAGACTCGATACCAACAACCCAATCATATCCCGCATACCCGCCGAAAAACAGATCCTCATACCCTCAGATTCGAACACCCGGGTCAACGAATAGAATTATATACGACCCAGTGTGTAGGACATGAGAGACCGACACCGGGGGTGGCTATAGCAAAAGCCACAGCAGGGAAACACGCGAACAGATGGTTTAAATGGATATGGTTCGTCCCAAAGTCGAAGTAAGAGTGCTTTACACACCTGGAGTGGAAACCTACAGAACGAAGAACGGTATCTGGACAACTGGCTTAACAGCAGGGCAGAACCAAGGCAGAACCGGACCAGACCCAACCACAACTCAACAACCCATCGGGATTACCAACTCCCATTAAGATGTATCGCGAAAGCTACAAGGGTCCCACCAAAAAAAGGAATGTTCACGCTCGTAGAGAAAAATTCATGTTTCATTTTGAACTATCACCAGGAAGTGTAGAATGGACAGTGCCCCAGGTGTTTGTGGTGAGAATGGGAGTTGATGTAAATGACCCGGTACTCTGCATTGAGGCGTAATGGCTATGGCATTATATCTGCTAGATGATCAAGGCTTAACAAGCAAACGCATAGAATTTCAGGCATATATACTTATGTTGTGTTTTGTAAGGAGGCATGCAACACACATGCACCGAAGTCGTTCTTGGGCAGGACACCCTCTATGACTTTGCAACGTTATATAGGATTTACTATCCACGAAGTTCTTCGATGATACCTGATTTGGGCCTCTGCCCCGTGCGTGCCCTGGGCGGGGTAATCAATCTCCAGCGCATCCTGCACGTAAAATATCGAGGACTGGCAGACGTGGCATGCATTGTCCAGAAGCAAACATCATCGTCGACGCGCAAATTCCTTTGGTTGTACGAGTGATATTGATTGTGGAAAGCCACCTGATGAGCGTGAGAAGTGTCAGAACCACTAGCAATGACTCAGTTTAAACTCGTGACCAAAACATTTGTATCCGTAAGCCAGCCGCAATCGGACTGAACGACATAGCACCCACCCGATCGCGATCGGGCCTCTGTCGGTGTATGCCGGGGGTCCTAACATGCTCCACATCACCAGTCTAATACTCTAATGGACGTCGACCCAATAGACGGGGCTGACAGAGACCAGCTGCTCAACAGTAGGATTATCCAGGCAATTGACCATTATAAAAATACGGATCCTGACGCTTTCGGACCAAGCCTTCAAGCTAGTCGACTGGAACCAATAATCTTATTGCAAATAATGCTTTCAACATATCTACCTGCCATCACCAAAGCTCCTGATAGAGCCAGGTGTATTGAATACGTTGACAACAACCCAGGGTTATGGCCTAAACTTACTTCAGCATACAGCCGCAAGTCGTTCTCAGAATTGTTCAACTATGGTAAGTTATGTTCGCTCTGTGGTAGTACTATCATGTATATGGTTCCATTACTAGTCGATATGCCGTTCTTAATGGACCTTACCAATCAGGAGGTTGCCAGCTCTCCAAGTCCTATTATCCAGAGTAAGCACCTGTTTGTCTTCGGTCTCTCATCTGACAAGTTGCTTCAGATCTTCAAGTAGCGTTTGAAGAACCTTACAAGGGAGAGACACCCCAGCTATTTATTAATGTATTGAACGAGTATTGGGGGTCTCGCGCGGGCCTACCAGCTGAGAGACCATATAATTGGTCTATCTCAGTTATCCAGTCTTCGGGTATGGGGAAATCCAGAATGGTCGAGGAAGCCGCGTCATCCATGTTTACGATCCCAATCAACTTACATGAGGAGCTCGGTAATGATCACAAAGGTGCGCAATGTTCCATCGCAGATTCATATTTGTGATCGAAGATGTTAATTTCGCCTCTAGCCTATCCTCCTCCGGACAGGATGTTTCGCGATTATTTTCGAGGACATGAGGCTAAAAGCGATCTTTGCCTACAGGCAGAGTATGCAATTATATTGCACCTGCTATTCGCAAAGGTCGCCGAACTAGTTGGGGGATGGCGTGCCTCGCTAGGTGATAGGGCACCTACAACAAACGCAGAGCTAGCAATGTTATGGGCTGAGGTTCTCAACTACGGACGGAACGATACCGAAGTTGGTGAGTGTCGCAAGCATATTTTAGATGGTGTGGCGGATCAGGCAGCGAAGGTGATGTCCAGAGGCACTAATGGTTGCTGCCACCTGCTGAATTTTCTCGGGAAGAGCCGATCGAACGTAGGTGCAGGAGAGAACCTGGGCTTCTGGATAGCCCAATTGAAGCAGTCATGCCAGAACTTTGTCCAGGCCATCCATGGTAATACGGAACCATCAGAACTCATATGCATTGTCTACTTTGACGAGGCTCAACAACTTACACAATCCGTCCCGCAGAGCGAGGCACGCCGCCGCTCGCCCTATCATAACCTTGGCAAAGTGCTGGCTGACCTGACAGATTTCCCTATTTTTTTCGTTTTTCTATCTACGAGTTCTCATTTTCAGAAATTCGCTCCCTCGCGCGTCATCCATCCATCGTCTCGCATTTCTCAGGGTCTCCGCCTCTTCCCTCCTTTCACTGAGCTGCCATTTGACATATTTGTGGATGAAGCATTTCAATCTTTGGAATCCCAGAATAAAAACCGCAGCCTTGAAAACATGGGCCGAACGGATGTGATGGCAGGGTTCGGACGTGGCCTGTAAGTGTCTACTACCTAATTTGCGATAAAATTGACTAATTCGCAACAGATGGTATGTCCACCACAAAAACTGGGCGCAGAAACAAGGATTGCCTGTTATATCGTTTGCCAGGGACAAACTGATTGCGGAAGGGAACCAAGCGAGAGTGTTCCACTCTCTCATTGCTGCTCTGGGGGTTCGCATTGGGATAACCTTCGACAATACAACTCAAGCCTCAATCAGTATGGAATCAGAACTGATCGAGTCCCATATGCGCGTTGTTTATGCCATCCCCGAGCATCGGGAATTCCTCCATGGCGGATCTCCCTCTGAACCTATACTGGCAGAGGCTGCAGCGAGGCACCTGAACTACCCTCCTGATCGCCCTGGAATAGAACAGCGAGGTCCAGAAATTCTGGCTTGGGCTTGCAAAAAGGGACTGCTTGCGAAGGGAGAGCGTGGGGAACTCTGTGGTCGACTTCTTGTGACTATTGCACATGATATTGCTTTGAAACCTCTCCAAGCAACTGACAAATATTCTTCCAACCCACATTTCCATCGACCTGTCCCTGTCCTCGACTTTCTTAAAGCTCTCTTTACGGGCGACATCTTCCACGACGTGATACTTGATGCCCATGCAGTGACAGACAAGGCGGATGTGCCCACTTTAGGAACAGCATTTGCCGAGTCTTATATCTTTTTTTCCCATTTCGCCCTGGCCGGAGATTCTGAAATGCTGTCTGCTCCAAACCTGGCAGTAGCTTTGCTGCGTGGCATGGCTCTCCAAGCTAAAGACAACCAGGAATCGATTGATGCTGTTATTCCTGTTCATATGGGTCCACTAGATGCGCCAATCTCACCGAAGTCGACGTCAGCGATCAACTTACAATTCAAAAATCGTAAAAAGTCCCAATCTTTCCATGTTCTTCGCCACATCACCGTTCCAGATAGAGAGATGTCAGTAATATCTATCATTTTCGAGCTCGGAGACGAGAAAGTGCGAGATGAAGATGAACTTGTCTCAATTTATCAAGCAACATATCGGGAGACACGCGGCTCTGAAGACAAACCACACTGGGACGACCACCATTATGAAATAGTCGCTCATGGGTGCACCGCGAAGACTTTCAGGGCGGTTTTGCCGACTGCTGAGCCATTTTACCAGTCTATTCTTGCGGCTCAAACGATCATCATGGACTTTCCTCGAGCACTTAATCAGCAGAGTTTGCATGCCCTTCAGAACTTGAAACCGTTCTTTAATGGTGTCCAAGAGAGTAAATCATGGGCAAAGTATTTCGTAGAATGATCTGTTCCAATGCAAATGGCACCCAACAATATACAACACTGACCATTTCGAGAGGCGACTCTAGGCAGCAATGCCATAAATCATCCCGAAACAGGGGATAGTTTATTAAGAACCTCGATCTCCCATTCTTTCATGCTCGCATCTTCGTTCTTTTGGACTCCCGATTCAGGAGCGCCTGCCTTCTCTTGTATCCCAAGGGATGCAGTTGCCGTGAGCTGTTGTCAAGGGATTCGGTTCAGCTTCTACCGCCTCGGCCGCAGTATTTTCCTGCAATTTGGCATTGTGAAGGGGACCGGGGATGTTGAAATAATTGGTCCCTTCAGCAAAATCCCCTTGCCGAGTCCGAGTCAGCCTGACGATGTGCGCAGCAGAGCCGACGGAGTGAGCCAAATCATGTACAATGGACCGGACATAGGTACCAGAGGACACCCTCATTCTCAGAGTGAAGACTGGCGCCTTCGAAGTTGAAGATTTTCCAAGTTCTTCCTCGGCACTATCAATTATGGTGGCACCTGGGAGTACGGGCTCTGATGGGGACGGAGATGTGGCTGCAGAAATACTAGATGCCGCCAATATGAGTTTCTGTATACTCTCGAACGAAGCGCGTTGGGCTTCAGTAATGTGCTTAGTTGGCCATGAATATGCGTGACCCGGCGACATGCCGTCCGCAGCATCCTGCCATCCAACAAGCTCAATATCATGGATTGTGGCTTGGCGAGCTTCTATGGGTCTGGGTAAGGGTGTACCCGAACGGGCGTATTCATAGAGAGGTTTGCCATCCATCTTCAATGCCGAATAACTGAACGAGCTCAGAAGTCAGAAGGTTTATTGTGAAGGAGATAGTTGAGGACGCGAACATAGGTGGCAGTTGGCTGATTGATCCCCTGAATGCACCGAGAGCAGCAGATAACTTTTCAGGAGTTACATGGGCAAACGGTGCCCGTCGAACCACAGCCCCTTCACTGTCGTACGTGTCAGTTTCACAGCCTAGAATTGCGGTTGCATAATATTCCTGGATAACCAGAATACGCGAATCAGTACTGCAGGATAGGAAGTCAAGCAGGAGTTACCTTTGCGCAATTTAAGAATTGTGAAAGGGATTTTGTTCCTTTATTAATGCCGACAACTTGAAGTGAAGAATTCAATATCTGAACGTATTAGAAGATGATTACGGAATTACCCAGAACGCCATCGGCCAGAGGATCTAGCGTTCCTCCTTGACCCACTTTCACGGATCCGTATTGCTTGTGGCGCTTCTTACTTCTATTTGTACTCCTTAACCTCATGTCTTGATTTTTCCTTCTGTCCTCTTCTCGAGTCACGAAGAGGGGTGATTCCCAGAGCAATGGCTTCATACGGTCAAGAAGAACCATAGACGGAGGTCCAGAAGGTTTTATTAACCCAAACACCCCATCTAACGGATACTTCTGGTTCGGCACTCGAGGCATCGCCCAAAATATCTGGCCTCGAAAGAAGCCAGGCTATGGAGTCGAGGATGAACATGATCGGTATGTGACGGCTCGCACTCAATTTATTCGGTTCCCTCTCAAAGTACTTGGTATGCCTTTGGTAACATCAAGCAAAAAGGCCGATCGAGGGAACTCAAAAGGTGTGGAAACTACATAGAACCCACCCCAGTGCTACTGATTACTCTCTCAATGGAAGGTTCTGCGGAGACCTTACTACGTTTGTCATCTGCAATCGCTCTCGAGCTTATCCAAGCTCATGAAAGTGGCAAGACCGTAAACTTGAATGAAATCAGGGCAAGGCTTTCAAAAAAAATGGGGTATGGATCTGTGCCGCGTCTTGTGGATATAATAAGTGCGGTCCCTGAGGAATATAAGAAAACTCTTCTTCCAAAGTTGAGGGCACGGCCCATCAGAACGGCCAGTGGCGTGAGTCGCCCTGATGAGACTTGTGTCCACACTTGCTTAAATAGTATGTGAACACAGATTGCCGTTGTTGCTGTGATGTGCAAACCGCATCGATGCCCACACATCGCAATGACGGGCAACATCTGCGTGTAACTATCGTCGCGTGTATTCCAAGATATCTTCGCTGAAACGACATTTGCAGATATTGCCCAGGAGGACCTGACTCGGATTTTGATTATAGTACTCAGAGTTACACTGGTTACGAACCGACGAGTATGCGGGCAATCCGAGCGAGATACGACCCATACGAGCAGACAAAGGGCCGAGTGGAGCAGCTTCGAAGCTTAGGTCTTAGTGTGGACAAGGCCAGTGCCTATGTGTGGGTCAACAAAATGGAACATGGACCGATTAATCCATAGATTGAGTTTATTATCATGGGGGGAACCTTCATGAGTATGGCGGAAGACTACAGGAACAAATTCATCGCCCAGCTGCCTAACGCATTATCCGGATTCACGGGGACAAATGTCGATGAAGCTGTCAGGTAAATTACCCGACGTCCCCCATTCATCTGCTCATTACGGCACGATCACTAGGTATTCAGAGCAAAGTAAATCTAAAGCAATTGGCATCACCATCGAGACTCGGCCAGATTACTGTCTTCGGCCACATTTAAGGTGACCATGGCGTTGATTCACTGAAGGGATGTATGCTAAGACGGCCGGCTGCAGTCAAATGTTGCGGTATGGATGCACGCGGCTCGAAATTGGGGTTCAGTCTGTATACGAGGATGTAGCCAGGGACACTAATAGGGGCCACACTGTCCGAGCCGTTTCGGAGTCGTTTCATTTAGCAAAGGACGCTGGGTTTAAAGTGGTGGCCCACATGATGCCCGATCTACCCAACGTAGGAGTGGAACGAGATATGGAGCAGTTCAAGGTGCACACCAGTTACCCCCCAAATCGTCTATGTTCACCTCATGGTATGACTATTCAGGAATACTTTGAAAACCCAGCGTTCCGATCCGATGGTTTGAAAATATATCCTACTCTTGTCATTCGTGGCACTGGGTTGTACGAGTTGTGGCGAACGGGAAGGTACAAAAATTATACGCCCAATGTCCTGGTGGATGTTGTCGCACGAATTTTGGCCTTGGTTCCCCCGTGGACACGAGTATATCGAGTCCAGAGGTAAATCGAGCCGAGATATTTATATTATGATCGACTCTCACTTGCATCAGAGACATCCCGTTGCCACTCGTCACATCTGGCTGCGAAAATTCGGGTAATCTGCGGGAGCTCGCTTTGGCTCGCATGAAAGACTTCGGTGTCGAATGCCGCGATGTTCGGTATCGCGAAGTTGGGGTGGGACTCCCTTGGTCTATTTGTTGCCATCCTCAGATATCTAATGGCTCTCGCTTTTATTGCAAACAGATCCACGAAATTCATCAGAAAGTTCGGCCAACCCATATTGAGTTGTTACGGCGCGATTACACCGCCAACGGTGGGTGGGAGACCTTCCTATCGTTCGAAGACCCTGAAAAAGATATCCTGGTGGGACTTCTACGTTTACGAAAGTGCTCCGAGGAAGGGACATTCCGACCCGAGCTCATTGCCCCTGGATCAGACGATGGCGATGAAGGCGGTGGTTATGGAAGTAGCGGGACAGGGGTCAGTATTGTCAGAGAGCTGCATGTTTATGGCACAGCAGTGCCGGTTCATGGTAGGGATCCGACAAAGTTCCAGCACCAGGTGAGAGGCGCTACGTTTTACGAAGGTTGTTGACATCCAAAACCCACTACTTTCTTCAGGGTTTCGGGACACTCCTGATGGAGGAAGCAGAGCGGATAGCTCGAGATGAGCACGGAAGTGTAAAGCTGGCTGTGATATCAGGTATGTTGCATGATAATAAATACAAGACTCGATGTCCCCCATCTGACAATAAACATGTGCAGGTGTCGGGACTAGAGACTACTATCGCAAACTGGGATACGAACTTGATGGGCCATACATGTCCAAATCTCTAGTGAAAACTTAAAGTGTGAGGTAGTACCAACATTGCGTAACAGTTGCCACAAATAGTGATATCAATGGTGTAATCTTGTTTCTCATTTTTACTTTGGTCCATGACGCTAAACAAGTGTGGTTAAAAACATAACGAAGTGAATACTGGTTGGGATAGTGCCTTACCGTGCGCAGAGGGCTGCGCAGGCGAGAATCTGGATAGCACGATAACCTGGCAGATTAACGGATACTGTCCCTCGAGTTGGCTAAGTGAAAACGAATGTTAATCGCGATCCCAACCAGCGTGTTTCTTTGTCCCAGGAAGGCCAATGTGAGTTGCCTCTACCCGAGGCAGCGACGGAAATTCCAGCAGGATGGGGCGTGGCATCGGGACGAGTTGATGATATGATGGACGGTGAAGAGAGTTGGTTGGGAGATGACACTACGCTCATCTGCGGAGACAGCATCATCGGAGACATGACATGAAGGGGAACAGGCGACGAATGTGCAGAGCTTGTCGATAACCCAAAGGCGGGACTCGCGTCTGTCCAAAGAGAATCATTCCTTGTCTCCTGCTGCCATGAGCCCAACATTGATACATTCCGGTCCACCGGACTGAACCCTTTATTATTTGTGACGAGCCCTGGCCCCACAAAGCCGCTCTTATTACCCCCACCATAGCTATCTTGCTCCTTGAGAAGCTCAGACACGGGTGTTTCCGGTTGGTTGTACATTGCCGTTGCCGCGAGTACCGTAGTTGCCCCAATCGTGAAGGTAAGGGTGATCTGATCCCCGAATAACGCAACACTTGCGAGGGACGAAACAACGATACTTAGGCTTGTGGCAAAACCTTTAAGGATATTGTCTGAATACTCACCACGGCGGTGATAAGACCTCCAGCCACCTGGACTAAGACCGTTGCCCATGCCCAAAATCCGAAGTGGTGAAACAAATTTAATGGAAACCTAATCCCTGCGTTGGGGCTTGAGTTGTAAATGATGGGAACGAGAGCGGGGATAAGGGAGAAAAGCGAAAGTTGTAGGTTTCGGACCCAAAGGTCGGATCTACTCCCCTTCAGAACCATCTCGAAATACACACCCGCCAATCCGGAAGTGATGCACGCAAAGGACACAGCTAAGAATCCCTTGAAGCGGTTCATTTCATGGGTGAGTGGTTTCTCCGTCGTATGAACAGTTACTGGTTCTATCGTCTGCCCAGGGTCGACGTTGATGAAGATAGTGCTGTTCGGGAGAGTAGGCGGCGATCTGACGATAGATGAGGCCGACACTGACTTTGATCCGGACTGAATCTGTACGATTCCAACACCAATGGCAAGGAATAGCAGAGAGATCCATTTCCTCGTGGATATGCGCTTTCGCAGCAGCAATACAGAGAAGGCAGCGGTCGTCAATATTTTCACCTGATATATGACCTGAAACGCCGCAGGATCTAGATTAGACGCCGCGACGAACTGCAAATTATTCTGCACGACATAAAGGATGGCGGGAATGGACAGTTTCCAACAGTCCGGACTGAAGACCTCTTTCACAAGCGTCCGAAACCTTCTTCGTACGTCTTCAACATTGAGCTTTGAAACGTTCATGAGCATGTTTTAGCGCGCGTTAGGACACTTTTTCGTGCGATTGTCCTTTGCGACGTTGTGACAGGTTCGCTATCCGCATTTGCAGTCGCGTGTCCATCAATTCGAGAGAGAGCTATTGCCATCGATATTGAGCCTTTCAGTAATTCGTTTAGGAGAACAGCTGTACATTTTGTCGGGTGGTGAGAAAACACGGGAGTAGTGCAGGATGATGGTGAGAGACGCATTTTGTAATGCAAGGGTGATAAGCCTTGTAGAAGCATGAGCACATGAGGGATGCGGCTTCTAGAATGCTCATACGAGAAGTATTTAAGAGGGATGTCATATATTTTGGGATTTGGTGGGTCCTGTTTGTGAAACTGTGATTGCCTTGTAGGTGATCTCATGGTAGATGATGTGAAGGAAGGGGAGGCCACGGGCGAGACATGTGAGGTGTACGATAGCGGAAGGGAACCATTTCCACCAGAAGTGGGCCCTCGATGATGCAGCTCTGTTGCAGGAAGGGGGATTGTGTTTCCACACCAAGAGACCTGACATGTGAAACGCCAAGTGCATCAGCAAGCCACATCAACTTGAAGGGACCAGGAACGCAGGATCATGGGATTTCCTTGCAAACTTGCGTGGCATCAGCTACTGTGAAACTCACCATGGCAGCCCCCGTTCCCGCGGGACGTGGTGAGAAGAGGCTGAGGCCATCCTCAGCCAGAAGCCCTTTTATGAAGGTCAGCATACTGAGGCGATCCTGTGATGCCACTTTACCTTTTTCCTCAGGATTGATCAGGATTAATCTCGGGACTTGCCGTTACAACCATCGTGTTCGTTCAGCGACTGATTAACAAACCCACACAAATGGATCACCTCGCGGGACTTTGGGTCGTCTTTGCCTAGCTAACTGGACGCGCGGAAAGCTGGAGCCTAACGACAATTTTGGTTACCATCTCATGTATCCGCAGCACACGACCTGTGGGACCACATCAGAAGAATTTCCTGGGTGGGAGCAATTCCTGTGATGCATATGTACAAGCCTCAAAGATTCGCAGAACAATCGTCTGACGGGAATAGGGAAGATCATCCATGAGTAAGAAGTTCAAGAGGACCGAATTGGACGAATGAATGCTGATAGTGGACACAATGATATCACTGCGCGTGCATTACGCTCGGAGACAGTGTCTCTCACTGCAGTCTTTACTCATAGAACGTAACGGCCACCATTTTCTCGCTCACTCCCAGCAAGAAGTTGTGGATTGACATGTGGAAGAGCTTTACTCTAGGTCGGCCAGTTGTGCCGGATCGGGACTCATGACCCAGCTGTATATCAATCTCATTGGATCCCAATCGTTCAGAGTTGCAACTGATCTGGAAATTATCGAGGCCAAATGTGGCTGGACGTAAACCTTGAACCGGTACTTTTGATTCCCTTGGCCACAAAAACAACGTGGCTAATGCCATGCATGCAGGGGCGTTTGAGAGGGGATAATCAACGATCTTGTGGCATATGATTGGCACTGGCTTAACCAGCTTGTGGCACCCAAAACACCGGGAGCATCATGATTTGAAATAAATCCCGCGGGCGCTTCGTTGTACTCAGTAACACGAACTAGCATGGGGACATGAATGTCATGAGCTCGCATGCAATCAGTGAGAGAATGCTCAAAGGCACCGAATGAGTTGAGCTAAGAGGGTGAAACATCCCATGCTAGCTCAGTGTGACAAAAGGTAAGCGAGGACCAGGACATGAAATTTAGAACGATGCGTGACGCCTGGTGCTGGTTGGAGGGGAGGGTGTGATATGGGTGCCTGGGGCGCGCTCAGATCTCAAATATCGTGAGTCGTGGACGTCCGTTCAAGGCCATCCCTAATCAAGTCGAATATTGGCAAGGAATATTCCATGACAAGGAACAGGCGGACCGTTTGATGTCCGGTGCGGGCCGGGCCACTTTATTCCATCCTAGCCAAGCTGCAACACTCATTATAAAAGCAATCTAACCCAGGGCTATGACCTAGGACCTGCACTCCTCCTCCCCCCTTCTTCGCCCTCGTCGCATCCACCTTCGTGTCTATCTACTCCATTACAAGTGTTGCCGACTTCCTCAGTTGCAATGGCCATCCATGGACTCGTAAACGGGCACAGTCAGCCATCCCAACCGCCTCGTTCGATTCGACCTGGAGTGTTTGCACCAATCCCCACCTTCTTTACGGCAGGGACTCAAGACCTAGGTAAGTTTATCTTCAGGATACAACCCTATTTGAACATATAGTGTCTGCTGACTGACTTGTGCCTGGAACCTTCTTTATGGAATTTCCAGACTTGGAAACATTCAAGATTCAGGTTGTCAAAGTGGCGATCGCAGGAGTTGGAATCGTCATCGCCGGTACTATGGGCGAGGCACACCATCTTTCCCCATCGGAACGTATTGCGCTTATTAAGGCAGCTCGGAGTGCGCTCGATGACGCCTCCCCTTCTCTCGCTCATGTGCCCATCATCGCTGGCACAGGTTCCGGGTCAACAAAGCAAACCATTGAACTTACACACGATGCGTATCAGGCAGGAGCCGATTACGCAATTGTCATCATGAGCGGCTTCTTTGCAGGTGCTCTAGCATCTAACAGGAATGCGTTGAAGAGGTATTGGAGTGATGTGGCGGAGAACAGCCCTTTGCCGCTGTTCATTTATAACTGTAAGCGCTTAGCTATTTTTGAGGATAATTTGTGTTGGGTAGACTGATGGGAGATACAATGATGAATAGATCCAGGTGCAGCCGGTAGTATTGACCTAGAATCGGATCTGATCGTAGAACTCGCCGAGGAAAACCCAAATATCATTGGAATCAAAGCAGATAGTTCCCAACCCGTGATGCGAGCACTGACGTCCCTTTAGGTGTGGGGTGTGGCACGCATAGCAGCCGAAACTGCGGATCCTGTGTGGATGAAGAAACATTCCATCCCCGTGAGTCTGATTTAAAATCGGGACACTGAAACCCGGAAGATAATCACCTTCCGGGATTCTTGGGGTTCTTTTTTCCGTTCGGATCGCGCCACTTCTCAAAGGCGCGCGGTCCATCCCGTTCTCCGACTTCGGCCTGAACAAACTTGACATGCAGGTCTCAGTATCAGTCCATGATCGCATCCCCTTGACCGTTACTAGCAGAGCAAAGAAACCAACTGACAATCTCGTTTTTCTGCTTCCCTCGATAGGTTCCTCGTGCTTGGAGGGTTCGTAGACTTTCTTCTCCCCTCCGTCTTCGCAAACGCACACGGCCATAACGGGCCTCGCAAATGTGGCACCCCATGCCATCAGAATTCTTTCCGATCTTTCTTTCGCATGCCATCCATCTTCTCCTGTCCCAACCAAAGGCGAACAGCCCGATCTCTCACGCAAATCGATTTTCGCAGAAGCACAACGTTTGCAGGGAATCATTGCGAATGCAGATCGAACCATTGCACTAGCTGGAGTAGCCGGAACGAAATGGCTACTGCGTCGTCAGGATCCGGGATTGTTCCCTCCTGGTTCTGAATGTCCTAGAAGACCGTTGATGAAACTTGATGATGAGGCTGGAGAAAGGTTGTGGATGCAGAGAGATGTAGTGGCGCTCAAGGTCGAAGAATCGAATGCTGCTGCTAGTGCTGGTGCTTCTTGCAGTACGACCGTGGCGTAATAGTCGATGCTTATGCTTGGACCCCTCTCTCTTCTTTCTACTTGTTTCGCCCAATTGCTTGTTTTGCTCCCGGTATCGTTGGTCAAACAGACCTCGTTCATGATATTTTTTCACAGACGTCGAGCTATCACTTGCCATTCGGCTTTCAAACGTCGTACATCCCGCTCTGCAACAGGCTGCTAAAATATATCACCCTGTTTTGGCTAAGCAACCGTGGTTCGACTAACCTTAGGGTTCGGCCTTCCACGTGTTGATTGTGCGACTATCGCATACGAATAAACAATTTCACTGGCTCTTTGCCGGATCTGCAAGGGGATCAATAGGGGCAACGGAAATAGACAGCCCGGGGGGTCTCGCGTCTTGAGAACAAGCTTGGCAAAGTGAGCAATGGGGGAGGTGCCAGCGGTATGGAATTGTACATTGCTACGAGTTGGGAATCACATGCGCAGCATTTCCAGATTGTCACTGCAGCTAGGGAATTACGAACCGATGCTCCTGCATGAAATTGATTGGTGGGTAAGTGGGCAGCCATAGTGTGACTCCGATGTAGAACCAACTCAATGATCCAGTAGGCGCCTAATGCAGCGCGGCTCCCGGATCCACGGAATCACGCTATCGTCGATCATTGCGTTCCAGACAGGAGCGCTACTCCGATCGCTGTTACTAGAAGGCTCGAGCCAAAACCTGGACCCTGCCCTGCATTCCACTGACCGGGACAGGGGGCGTGGAACCCCCCATTTAAACGTAATTACCATTTCAATGTGTCGAAGAACGTAAGGAAGTCGAGAGAGAAGCGGTCTCCTGCACTCTTCGCGCGATCGGTCGACTTTGTACAGCGGGAATCAAACAATAAGTCGGACATGCTGGATTTGGCGGGGAGAATGATGAAGGAACTCTCACCTGCCCCACCTTCCCGAAAAATCGAGCTAGCCGGTGATTTCGATACGTGCCACATGGTAAGTGTGAAACGCTTCACAGCCTCGGATTTGACAGTACCGTACGATGGGTCCATGCTTCGGGACTGACTTTGAGCAAGCACCAAGTGTCTCAGCTCGCGGTCAGATCTTGACGGTGTAAGTCCTGACCGCCAGGCCCGTCCGGAAGTTCCCCTTAGCTCGCAGCTGGCTGTGTCTCGATTTGAGGGGTCTTATTTGGTCGCGTGATATATGAAAGCTGGGGTATAGATGTCCCCCAAATCGGGAAACTGACGAGAAGGCACTGCCACTGCCCCCGAAACTCACCTCCTGCACACCTTGCGTAGCTGGATCGATCAGGTCTCAGATGGTGTAGTGTGGAGGGAATGGCCTATTTCGATGTAACGCAAACTAATCCCAGAGCCCTCCACTTATCAGGGCCAGTTATCATGTCACTGTGATCGACCTTCAATGCCATCTCCCCAGTCTGATCCTCACTTTCTCAATGTCGATCTACCACACAAACCTCTTGTGCACCCGCTCTGGATTCCTCCGAGGAGTTGAATCGGGATTTGGAGGTGGAATCGACCCTTGGTTGGCTCCGGAATGGTGTCGGCATCAACTTGAAAGGGGACGTTCGGGGAGCGGAATTATATATGCGATCTGGGTACCAGCTTTAGGATACATGGCTACGCAACAGGAGATGGGTAGATCGACCCATAAATGCTCCAAACGATGTAGATACAACATTTTGTTTTCAGGATATCAAATTTGATGGATCGGATGCAAATTGAAGATTTCCCCTAAACCCAAAACGACCTCCAGAACGAGAGAAAACTCTCATAATGTCCTCCCCTCTGAAAAACACGTCCAATAACGCATCTGACGCATCCAGTGATACACCTAATGCTTCCATCCTCCACTTGAATGCCAATTTCACGGACGGAATCACGGTGTTGACAACAGCGCCTGCGGCAAATGACTTTTTGGGAGAAAAAACTGGTCCGTTTGCAGACCTAAGGGCACTTGTCAAGAAACACACTACAATGGCCCACAGGGCCAGCTTTCAGCCACTTCCCTCCCTGGAAAACGTAGTTTGGGATGTTGCACAGCACCTGTGGGGACATACACTCCCCAAACACTGCGTGATGCGTGGAATTTCAAGCAGCCCAAAGCGCTTGAAATATCAATTAAATGAGGCTTTCAGATGCTTGAAATCCTGTGTAATTAATATGCATGAAATTAGATCTTTTATGCGCATAAACTTTGAAGAGGTGCTGCGCGCAATTGATCGATCTCGATTGCAACATGTCCAAACAATGTTTTCGTGTCCGACGCAACCTCGACACTGATCAGCTTGACCCCAATTTCACCACTGCATTGCTTGCAAACAAACCAAGACGGGCGATCACCAATTAGCCCAGCTAAACCAACCTCATCAGCTCCCACGCCACAAACCCGTGCGAACAGCCCCAAGCGCCTGTCGCTTCGGACACTGTGCCGATCTCTTGATCATCGCATGCCACCCACTAAGAACGCTCCCCGACGTGTAAGCCCACATGGAAAACTTGTCTGAGACTGCAACTGCCATCTCTGACCTACTCAACTCCCGCATTAACTCTACTGCAATGACGATGTGCTTCATGCCTAAGTGCAAGGCTTGCCCTTGTTTAGACTGCTCCAGATCGCCATTTGGGCCTATGCTTCAAACCCCCTTGTGATCAAATCTCATCTGGCAAAGCAACAGCTTAATGCCTGCTTATCGCGACAACTGCATTCGCGTCAACATTTCAGGGATCCAGCAGCCATGGGTGCTGTCGAGAGTTCCTCAGATGGCAACTCCCCCACTTTCCTTTATGAACCTACTTCTCCCAATAGCTACGACCCCTGTTTGTCCGAAATCAAGACCAACGCCGCTTGTTCAAGTTGGATGAACGATGCTGTATCAAACCCTGAACCTTCGTCGGACTGCAGTTCTGAAAGCTCGCATTGTTCTCTTTCATGCGATGAAGGCCATGGCTTGCAAGGGGGATTTTGCGCAACAGATAGCCATGAATCTGAGCTACATGTTGTTCACACTTTGGGAGAGTGTTCAGACGGACTCTCTGATGATCTGCTGTTCAGGGAGCACGATGCAATACTAAGTTGGCTGGCTGCCCAGGATACGGAAGGTGGTAATCGTCATGCTGTAGATCAGTTGACGATGCTACCGGCTGCGTTTTCAGAGTCGCCACCCATTCGAAATGCATACATACGTGCATATATTCAACATGCTTATCATGGCGCAACTCATGTAGCTGTAAACGAATTCCTCCGTGGCCAGAAAGCTCTTCTGCAGTATATCAAAGACTCCTTTTCTCCAGCCCTATTTCCAGATCTTGATTCGATGGCTATCATGCTCCCCGCAGTTGAGAGGCGGCTAGGTCTTTGCACTGGCCCTTATCTGTTCTACTATTTTATCTGCAGTGAATGCTGGGCCCCATATCATATTGAAGAACTCGCCACTCTGGATTCCCCCAAATGCACAGCCAAGTTGTGTTCTGGACAACTTTATTCTATGAAGACTTTAGGTAGTGGTGATCAGAAGCGTGTCCCATTCAAAGTCATCCCATGTGCCAATCTGGAGGCTGTCCTGCAACGTATCCTTCTCCGTCCAGGGAAGTTTGACCACATGCAACACTGGCGACAAGATGGTGATGAACCAGGGGCAATCCCTCCCATCGAAGAAGCTGAACATTACAAATCTCATTCAGTGGATGCAAAGATGCATGATATCCATGATGGATGGGGATGGCGTGCCATTGAGGCATGGGTGACTAGAACCTATGATTCTAAGGGACATGTCATTGAAGGAACTCGGAAGAAGCATCGACAACGCTTCGTCGCTCTCCCATGTGGACTTGTGTTTATTTTCAGTATTGACTGGTAGGAGGCTCATCAAAGCATGCATGTCCTGGCTTCTTTTTGGGATTTAGGTTCCAAAATGCAACATGGAAACAGTATAGCCTCGGAGCCGTCTATTTGACGATTTGTAATCTCCCTCGGTCTATATGGTATCTGATGGAGGAGACCATCCTTTACATGGTCATTCCCGGGCCTTCAGAACCGAGCCAAAACCAGCTAAACTCGCTATTAGATCTCCTTGTTAACGACTTCCTGAAACTTGAACAGGGCATATTGCTGCATGTGTGAGGACAACAAGATCGTATTCCTGTGCATGGCCACCTTCACTTGGGTTGCTCTGACCTCCCTGCCATTCGACTAGCTGCCGGACGAATGGGTGTCACATCTGAAGATCATATGTGCACGTTCTGCGATGTAACATTTTCAAGTCTAACTGATCCTTCCTGCTTTGAGCTCCGAGGTCATACAAACTGTCTGCCAATGTGCTCTATTGTCACGACCATGCATCCCGGCCCGTTAGCTGCCTGTCCCGATGCCGCCTGAGCCCATTCCCGCTATGTGAGTGCGAGCGCGAGCGCCAACCTCAGCCCTATCCTCCATGAGGACTCCCTGCTCACTTCCCCGCTTGCCCCTAGGCTCCCCTGCACCTGGCCGACTCCCCCACAGCCACACCGACCTCCCTGCCCCAAGTCCGCCTCTGGCACCTACCTAGCGTGACTCCGCGACATCGCCTACTCCGCTATGATACCATCGCCGCTATCGTGGCCCTACACCCCTTCGTTTATTTATCTGTTATTGTTTGTTTTGACCCTCAGTCATTGCCAGCCGCTGTGCGGCCAACCCCGCTCGTTGTTCCTATTTGCTTCCGGACCCTTCGGCCTTTGGCCCGGGTCCACTTCTATTCATTCAATCTTCATATATATATCCTGTATACTACATTATAGTACCTCAGCTCTAATATCGATATGACCATGACCCCTAAGTCCTGACCCCAACAAGGCAACCCCAGTGAGTCCGAAATGAGGGCCAAGAGACAGCTAGGGGGCACAGCACTCCCTTTAGAGTTGCTGAGGCCAAATGCCCTACCCCTGGGCCTTGTTCGCAGCATCACGGCCATCGCGGCCTATAGCGGCCTGCATAGGCAACCTTCGGTGCCGACCCTGTGTCATATCCATGCATACCCGACCCTGACCCGACTTCCGGACCTCCACCCTCTTCACCTCCGGAGTCATAACCTACCGTTGCCGTTCCGATACTCACCTTTGGTCTTGGCAACACACCCCTCCTCTTACCTCTCCGTCCGTTCCGATACTCATCTCGGACTGAACATCGCCCTACTCGCCACCCTTCCTACAACTCCGCTCCCCCCTCACAACACCTCCACCCTCCCGTCATCCCCTACGCTTCTCCGTCCGTTCCGATACTCACCTTCGGACCTGACTACTCTTCCTTACCTGTCCCCTCTCTCCTTCCTCCGTCACTCCTACACCACCCTTCCGCCAAGTTACGACCATCCACTGCTGTTCCGTACTTCACACTCAGACACCGTTCATACCTTACTCCGAGCCTCCGTCATAGTCCATACCTCGGACTTTGACTCCACCTCGGTCTTAGTCCATTGCATTGGTGACCTCATACTACGTAAACACCATTGCCAATATTCCTCGGACTTCCAACCCCGCCTCCGTAACCTCCGTAAGCTCCACAACCCCCGAGCTTTGCAGACCGCCTCCGGCACTCTCGCCGTTTGTAATGTATTTCTCGCAATTCCCCCTCATCCCTATTTGGACTACTGCTTCCTTCTATTCTAGCCAGTTAGTCATCACCCCCACTTCCCCTCATCCTCCTGCCCCTCTGGGCCTCGCCCACTCTACCTCCTTTCGGATGTATCACAGGTCTTGCCCTATGACCTTCGGTACCGCTCCGCTCCCTCTAACCCTTTGTTCCCGTTCAGACGTCTTCGTTCTGATTCGGTCACCCTTTGTTCTCCTTGTGCTTTTGCCCCTTCCTTATATATATCGGCGCTTGTACATACTCGTCTGGTTTCAGTCCGAAATCGACCTGAAATGCCCCCAAGAGACTTCCTGCTCACCTACTGTGAAATTAAGGACCAAATGGACAAACAGCAATGGCACAGCGCTCCACTTGAGTCACTGAGGCCAAGGTCCCTCCACGCTAAGTCTCCGATTCCACTCCGGAGTCGTCCGTTTCCGCCCATCTCTAACACCCTGGACCAGTGTCTAACATCTATGCTGTTTATTCACATGCCTCTATAGATGAGAGAGCTGTTAATGACATGCAAATCCTGCACTATGCCCATAAGTGGAAACTCGCCAGTGGGAATCTGAATCACCAAGAAAAATTGACGGAATATAGTCTATCAGGCTTTCTTTGGTGGCCGAGTCAAGGCTGACCAATGGAGAAATCTTTCTTCCATTCTCTTTGTTGCTCTCTTTGTTTCCTGGCAAGTTGATGGAAGGATTCCTAATCAAGATGCCCCACTGCCCCGTCTTAAAAATTCCAAGGCTTATAAGGCAATTCAGGCTCAAGCAAAGCTCCTTCGGAAGCACCGAAAGAAATACTTGCAGTCCCAAGGCACTGTTGATCCACACGAGCTCAACGGCTTGGATACTCTCATACCAGACAGGGACTATTTGCGCCACTATAGCAATGTTCTTCAGACTTGCATAGCACTCCGGATTCTTGGGACACAAAGTGGAAGCATGAATGATTATACACGAGCACACAACTGTCTTTCGTGATCATTCCAAGACTGGGCTGCTATGGGCTGCCATCTTGTTCCTTACTTTCACATTGCACTTCACCAGCTAGAGTCACTCAAGCGTAATGGGCCGGCATATGCAGCATGGTGCTTTGCATCGGAGCGCCATAATGGGGTCCTCAGCAGGATAAAGCATAATGGTCATTCAGGCGGAGAGCTCGAAGGCACTTTGGCACGAGGATGGATGAGAATGCAGTTGATTCATGACATGGCAGGTTTATGTTTTTCATTTTTGGGTTCCGACAATTATTCCTAATCTCCCTCAGGTTGTCAATTTGAAAGACATTCTGAATCCCTCAAGTGATGATCTTGAAGTCATTTCGATGGTTGAGAACCATATCAAGGGTGGTGTTGATGGGGAGAGGAAGTGGGGGACATTCTCAAATCTCCTTGTCTCTTTTGCGGCATTGCAAAAAGCAAGTAAGTATTTTATTGCTCATCGTGTTCGTATGTACTCATGTTGCTCATGCTTTGGTGTTAGAGTCAGTTGAAGTATCTTCAAAATGCAAGGAGATTTGTTTGCGCACCGTCTCTGCAGATCTTTATGAGATGGTCTATCAATATCTTGCAAACTTGTGGTGTTCTAATGTTGCACTGGTCCGTGATCTTTCCTTCGCAGAAGGCAAGGCTTTTCTTGGAAAGGTTTGGTCGCATCCATATGCCCATGTTGACAGTATCTGTTATTGCATGGGCACGGCAAGCTACCATGCCTGCTGACCCAGAGTACGGAGTCCCTTTAACACTTTCTGCTCAATTTTCCATTGTCCGACCATTGGTCACACCAGGCACAGTGCCGGAGTTCCCTTGGGATCTGTGGTATCAGATTTAGCCAAATTAATCACATGTTGCTACGTTCTGATGCATTGACATAGGTCTATTGATCTAGGTACCGGCACATGGCTTTCGGAACGCTTCGGCCCTATTTGAGTTATTCCACTTGACATGCTGCAAGGCCAGCTTGTACTCTGTGCCGTCCCTAATTGAAAAGCCACATTTTGGATTACAGTTTCATTTGACCATGTTTGTTGTATCACTGCGAAATCCTTTTGGGCAGCTAACATTGCATTCATAGCAGAATCAAGAACTTGATGCTGGAGAGGAATGTGCATCCCTCTTTTGTAGATCTTTGTCCCTCTCTCACTTTCAAGCAGAATATTTGAACTCGTTTCCCATAGTAGAAGCTACCAGTGCTATCATGCTGTTAAGTCATCGGGTCACTCAATCCAATGATGCTCAAGAGTGATAGGAACTTTTTATTGGTTGCACGCAAAATTATCAACACATAGTAATAGCAGAAACTGAGCAAGTGACAAGAAGTGACATTGCCAATTGATAGCATGGAGCTTCACTAAATTTTTGAGGTCAGTTGGCAAAATCTCCGTACCAAGTTGAGCTACTTACAGCCTGTCATTCATTTTCTGTGATGGGACTGATAGAGTGTGAACGCGGCAAGGAGCTCTTCGTCTCAACATCAATGCCATCATCATTGTTGTCAGCAAAATGGTCCCTATTTGCGTCACCATTATTCTCTGAGTCCGATATGCTGGGGCTTCCCACCGGTTTTGCCTTCACAGATTGCAAGCCTTGTTTTGGCCCACACTCTCGGGTAACTTTCTTCTCTCGAAGCACAAGTCCCTTCACTCCACCACTTTGGTGCTGGTGCTTTTCTACTCTTTTTTCGGGGTGGTCCCCGCTCTGATTTGCTACCCTCTGCGCCATCGCTGTCAGGCTCATCAGCAAAAAATTGTTATGCTCCTGAGTGCTCTGGAGTATCAAGAGCACTGGGAGAATCAGGAGGAGATTGGCCAGTCCAGGAACAGCCCATTTCCTCTGGAGTTGGCTAGGTACTCCAGGGCACTCCCAGGAGGGCCTGGAGCATTGCTTTGTGCACAAACATATCCAGTAAATACAATTTAAATGCTTCAAAGTGTATAGGGGTGAGAAGCTTCTGGGAGCTCCTGGAGCATTTGAAAATGAAAAGGAAAAAAAAGAGGGAAGATCCCCCATGAATACCTCCTACCACAAGACTAACACAACAAGACACTGCTTAACATTTAGATCAAACACTATACTATATATCAAGGACACTGAGACTCACCAATACACAATCAAAATTTATGGCCTGATATATGATTAATCTGGCAACTTAATCACTTTCGGGCTGGCAGAATATGGGGGAGGGGGAAATGGGGGGAGGATGAGGGGGGGAATGAGGGGGGGAATGAGGGGGGAATGAGGGGGGGATATAGAGGGAAATGAGGAAAATTTGAAAAATAGGGACTTCTAAAAAGTTGAAAAAAATAATTAGGGAAAAAATCAAAAAAATTCAGGAACTGTAGTGCCTTTGAAGTGCTTTCAGGATATATAATTATTTGCAAAATCGAGGAAGAAATGATGGAGAAAAATGGAAAATACTTTCGGAGACCCAAGAAATAATGAGAACTGAATTGATGGGAAAGTCTGAAAATTGAATAGGGAAGTGAGGGGAAGCCTTGTAGCATTGTTATTTTCTGCTGTTCTAATTTTTCCTGATTGTTCTTGGTCTCACTCCCAGCTGCTACTGGATACTCCTGGATACTCCTGGAAGCTCCTGGGAGGGTCCAGGAGCAGCTAATGGAAAATACTTTTGGAGACCCAAGAACTGAATGGATGGGAAAGTCTGAAAATTGAATAGGAAAGTGAGGGGAAGCCTTGTAGCATTGTTATTTTCTGCTGTTCTGATTTTTCCCGATTCTTCTTGGTCTCATTCCCAGCTGCTCCTCAATACTCCAGGAAGCTCCTGAAAGCTCCTGGGAGGGTCCAGGAGCAGCTGGGAGTGAGACCAAGAACAATCAGGAAAAATCAGAACAGCAGAAAATAACAATGCTTACAAGGCTTCCCCTCACTTTCCTATTCAATTTTCAGACTTTCCCATCAATTCAGTTCTCATTATTTCTTGGGTCTCCAAAAGTATTTTCCATTTTTCTCCATCATTTCTTCCTCAATTTTGCAAATAATTATATGTCCTGAAAGCACTTTAAAGGCACTATAGTTCCTGATTTTTTTTTGATTTTTCCCTAAGTTTTTTTTTTTCAACTTTTTAGAGACCAAAATTTTCCTCCCACTGCTCCTGGCACATTACATACTCCTCACCACTCCCAGCTGCTCCTGAACCCCCTCCCAGGAGAACACTATTGGCTCCAGGAGTGCCCAATCTGCTGTTTTGTCTCCCACATGCTCCAGCCACTCTTGATGCTCCAGAGCATAACGGACTTTTGCTGATGCTGTTCATCCAGGTCCGGTGCGAAATCAACATCCTCATCCATACTGATCCCATTGCCTTCACTGGGTTGTAGTCTTTCTCTGACAAGGGGAATATTCTTGAGAGAATTTGGGCAAGTGGTTCCTTCGTCTTTGATAAGCCATGGCACATTCATGCTTGGTTTCACCAACAGATATTCGTCTTGAACAAATTTGCGGGGGATTTGTGCATTGTTTTCACCAGGTGCAGGCTTGATAGGTTTGTCAGCCCACTCCCCAGGCTCAAGGATGCGTGGTCGATGTTTTTCCATCTTCGAACGGCCATCAGAACTTTGTGCAGCCACTTCTTTTCTTTGTTGGGTAACAATGTCATCAAGTCGTTGCTTAAGGTCTAAAATCTGGAGTAAAGATGAGTACTATTGCTTTGCCCACACGTGCCAAACACACATCAGGAACCAGATAGTTCCGCTGGTGATGAATGAGTGGCCACATGCCATCCACTTGCTGAATTTCAGGTCGTTCTTCTGCATAGTATTCCAATCATCGGAGCTTTGATGGTATGTTGAAAACATGAAGTCATACTCCGAGTTTTCTAGTTCAGGAACCAAGTGTCTTGCAGATAGTCGCTCATTGGCCTTCTGCTACGAAGTAAGTAATGAACACCAAATTGTCAGAGAAACTCACAGCTAGGGCATGTGTGCGATGGCATGCACGCCTAGCATGCAAAACCCTAATCTCCTCAGGAAGTTGTTTCTCACGAAGCTTGGCCTTGGTATTGTTGAAGAGATTTCGAATCTTTTCATCGATTTCTCTATGCGGGATTTTGGCAAGGTCAGCCATCTTCATTCCTTGACCATGTAGTGGCCCGTCTCGAAGGATTAATTTCTTCAGCAAAGGGACCCAGGAAAAGTTTTGCCTGAAGCTCATTTCCCAGTTTGGTTGAATGTATGACACAATATCCCCTAAACCGGTCTCTTCCTGAATAATGAAGGCACCGTCCAGATCTGGCTCAGGGTATTCGTCTCCGACTACTCCCATTGCCTGCTTGAAGCATGAACGTATTATCCCCTAACCAGGTCTGTCAGAATCTCCTCTCAAAGGTCCAGAAATCGACAACTTACTGATAATTCATTGTTTCTCCCTTTCACGAGCGGTGGTGCTTTTCTCTCAGTAGCAACCTGTTCCAAGAGCCTCTCGGCATTTCCAAGCCTGTCACCCACATTCTGAAATGCATTCCCACATGCATTGTTTATTTGGACAGTCTCATCATCTATTTTGTGGATCAAAGACTCAAGCCGTTCGATCTCTCTTGCCTGCACTGTGACTCGGGATGCAAGTGCTGCAACTTGTGACGTAAGTGCTTTGAGTTGCATTGCATATTGTTTGTGGTCCTGATGCGATCGTGTCTCATTGTCACTGGAATTCGTGCCACTGACACGCTTGCGAAGTGACTCCGGTTCTGCAGTACTGGTAGACGTAATCGATCTTCGGGAACTGAGTATGCGCATGTCTTTCCGAAAAAATGGGTTAGAGAATGTGGGTACTGTGGATACTGTGGACGGTTCTTCACCAGAATCAGAAACTTCTCCGGCATCATCAAGAGATGCCTTGGATAAATCAGAGCCTAGTGATACCAATGACCATGTAAAAAACTCACATCAGGAATGCCCTTCTGTCAGGGCACACACCTGACCCCACGCTGCGCCGCCCTACTCTGCTCCCCCACTATCACTCCCTGTGTCTCCTTTCCCCTTTTCCTTCTTTCTTCCTATTTCCGTTCCATGGTCGACTTCCCCTTCTCTATGTATTACTACACACTTAACCCTGCTCCCCCGATCGCCGCGCCTGCCACGCACATTCCCGCTCACAGAGCAGCACACCTCTGGGATCTCCCACGGAGATGCCCAGGGGAGTGCGGCTGTGTGCAGGGATGACGTGACCTCAGCCGCATGTATATAATAGCACCTGGGGTGGGAACAGAAGAAGCAGCCTTCTTCTCAACTTCCCACTTCAGGTAAGTACTGTAGCTTCCCCTTTTAATGATAATACAACTTCCCACTTCAGGTAAACTAAGTGGTCGGGGACGCTCACCCCGCAACAGGACCGCTGCTACGCATAGCCGACATCTGTCCCATCGAGTCCCTCGCGCTGGGACCTTGCCGCTTTCGGAGCTGTCCCTGACAGCAGAAGAAGGCTTTAACCTCATTTCCCCTGCCTCCCCCATCTCCCCCGCTATGGTGACCGAAGAGCAGTATGACGAGCTGCTGTCCCGATTCCAAGAGCTCCAAGCTATTGTAGAGAGCCAAATCCAGAACCACCCCCCAGCAGTGCCCGCACCCGCGCCACCACCCGCACCCACGCCCGCCCCCAGACCCAAACTGCCTAAAGTTGCCCCCCCACCCCCTTCTCTGGAGCAACCGAAGACCTTGACTGCTTCAAGACTGAATGTGGCATCTACTTCCACGTTCGGGCGGCGGAGTTTCCTGACACCCTCTCCCAGATCCTCTTTGTCCTGTCCTACATGAAAGGAGGGACTGCGGGAGCATGGGCAACGCAGCGTACCATCGCGCTGCTGACGATGGGCTCCCCTGGGCTTACCATGGACGAGTTCAACACGGAACTCGACGCCATGTTCCAAGACCCAAACCGCGAAGCCATGGCCAGGCAGAAGCTGGCCACCCTGCGACAAGGCACCGACTCTGTGGACAAGGTCATCCAAGAGTTCGAGATCCTCGGCCCTGCCTCACGGCTAGGAGATGTAGGGCTAGTAGACCGCTTTGAACAGGCGATCAACTCCCAACTCTGAGAAAGCATCTACCGCCTCTGCCCCATGCCGACTACCTGGGCCGAGTGGAAACGCGAGGCCACCCTCCTTGACAACCAGTGGCAACACTTCCAGGCAACCCAACCCCGCTTCCCCCCAGCCAGGCCCCAGCTTCCACCTGGGAGATCCCCACTCCCTGCCACCCTCCCACAAGCCCGTCCAGCCCCTGCACTGCCGCGCCCCCAACCTGCCACCACACTGCCGCCTCCTGCACCGCACCCTGTGGCGGGAGGAGGGCCGCAACCTATGGACCTCGACCGCTCGAGGATAGACCAAAGACGAGGCAGCCTTTGCTACAATTGCAACGCACCAGGGCACATCGTGCGGGACTGCCCGCAGCCAAAAACCTGCCGAGCCAGGCGGATGCACCCAGAGGACCTCAGGGCACTCATGGAGGGGCTGAGGAGGCAATTGGTGGACGAACCAGGGACAGAGACAGATGGAGGAGAAGGGCAAGAGGCAGAAGCCCAAGAGGATTTTCAGGAAGGCGACCGGTGAGGGACGCGCCCCAGCCGCCTGTAGGCGATAGTACTAGCTCGTGTAGATACCGTGACGTGCCTAAACCGGCGCCGACATCCAAATTCCACTGAGTCATCGCCAAGAAAAAGAGGAAAACCGCGTTCTCGAACAGTAAGGACAGAGAAACACCAAGCGGGGTGCCTGAAGTAGCGGTCCCGCCACCCGCTATCTACGTGTTGTCCAAACAACCCCCCAGATCCCTCAACCTGGCTGTAAAGCTGACTACCCTAACCTCCCTCGCCACTGTCTCTGCGTCCGCCCTCCTAGACTCGGGGGCCACCGGGAACTTCGTAAGCCCTGAGTTCATCAGAAAGCACCGGCTTGAGACGATCCCACTCCCCCAACCCATCCCCGTCTGCAATGTTGATGGCACCCCAAACGAGAATGGGGCCATAACCGAGGAACTAGAGGCACTCCTGATGTTTGGATGGCACACGGAGTGGGCCCGCTTCGCCGTCGCAAACCTCGGGTGACAGTCCCTCATCATCGGACACTCATGGCTGCTACACCACAACCCAGAGGTAGACTGGACGTGGCAAAGGGTCAGTATGTCCCGCTGCCCTTCCTCCTGCCGGTCAGCGTGAGGACACGCCGACTCAGACCCCACAGTGGAACCTGGGGACAGGATTTATGCTGCCATCATCCCTCCAGGGTGGGGACACAAACTGAGAGCAACCACGACGCCATCTCAGCAGATGGCCCAGGAAGCCCGCGGACCAGAAGTAGAACCCGCGCCGTTTGAGGCGCTAGTCCCAGAACAGTACCAGGACTTCCGGGACGTGTTCTCGAAAGAGGCCTTCGACCAGCTGCCCCCCCGGAAGCCCTGGGACCACGCGATAGACCTGGCGCCGGATGCCAAACTCCCGAGAGGGAGGACCTTCCCCCTGTCATGACCAGAGCAGAAGGAGCTGGACAAGTTCCTGCGTGAAAACCTGCGGAACGGGCGCATATGGGCATCCAAATCCCCGATGGGAGCCCCAGTCTTCTTTGTCAAGAAGAAGGATGGATCTTTGCACCTAGTCCAGGACTACTGAAAGCTCAATGAGATCACGGTCAAAAACTCCTACCCCCTCCCACTCATTTCGGACGTCCTCGCACGCCTCTGAAACGCTAAGTACTTCTCAGCGCTGGACCTGCGCTGGGGATTTAACAACGTCTGCATCAAAGACGGCGATGAGTGGAAGGCAGCGTTTTCGACCAATCGGGGACTATTCGAGCCTACCGTCATGTTCTTCAGCTTGTGTAACTCCCTGGCGACATTCCAGACGATGATGAACGACATCCTCCGAGACTTCATCAACTGGGAGGTCGTCATCTGCTACATGGATGACATCTTGATCTTCACTGCCACCCTGGAAGAACACTGGAAGGTCATCCAAGAGGTCCTGGAGACGTTGCGGAAGCGGAGGCTCTTCTTGAAGCCGGAAAAGTGCAAGTTCGAGCGGAAGCGGATCGAGTACCTCGGCCTTGTCATCTCCGAGGGAAGTGTCGCGATGGACCCCGTGAAAGTCTGCGGTGTCCTTGACTGGCCAACCCCAACCAAGGTCAAGGAAGTACAGTCCTTCTTGGGGTTCGTCAACTTCTATTGCCGGTTCATCAAAGACTTTTCCGAGACAGCCTGCCCCCTCCACGCGCTGACCTGCAAAACCAAGTCATGGACCTGGGGACCTGACGAAAACCGCACTTTCCAGGCCCTCAAAGACGCCGTCACCTCCGCCCTGGTCCTCGCCTTCCCCACTGATACGGGTCGCTTCAAACTCGAGTGCGACGCCTCTAACTTTGCGACTGGCACCGTCCTATCCCAGCTCCAGACAGACGGAGAGTTCCACCCCATAGCCTTCATGTCCAAGAGTTTTACGGACGTAGAGCGTAACTACGAGGTGTATGACAAGGAGATGCTCGCGATCGTATGCGCCCTCGAGGAGTGGAGGCATTTCCTACAAGGAGCAGAGGAGAAAGTCGAAGTCTACTCCGACCACCGCAACCTAGGGTACTTCCGCACCGCGCAATGACTGAATCGCTGCCAAGCATGGTGGTCACTCTTCCTCTCCCAATTCCACTTCACCCTCATCCACCGCCCAGGGAAACTCATGGGAAAACCCGATGCACTCTTGTGCCACACTGACCACCCGAAAGGCAAGGACGACAACGACAGGTTGACTCTCCTCCAACCCGCCTGGTTCGAGGCCCGCGTGGCGGAGGCAGTCATGGTAGAAGGCGAAGGGGCGACCATCCTCAAGAGGATCGGCAGGGCGAAGGACCTGGATGAGAAAGTAGTAAAGGTGATGCGGGAACTGAGAGGGCATGCTGAGGTCGGATGAATGGGAGAAACAAGGAGAGCTGGTGCTGTACAGAGGAAAAGTATACGTCCTGAAAGACCTGCAACTCCGCCACGACCTAGTGCGCCTCTACCATGACATGCATGCGACGGGGCATCCAGGGCGGTGGAAGACCCTGGAACTCGTCTCCCGCGACTACTGGTGGCCACAGATGGTGGAGTATGTTGGGCGGTGTAGGAGAAATAATATTCAAAGAATAAAACAATGATCTATCAGAATAGTCAACGAACAGGTGACAAGTTCAGACGTTTAACAGATCTCATGATCTTTATGAGACTGGACAGACATTAGATCATTATAAATTATCTACACCCATGTAGTATGAGATTTAATCTACTACAATCATGCCTAGAACTTGGCATAGGTGTAATATTCAAAGAATATATCCCTACAACAAGAAAATAGCACATAGACGGCAGAATAAGAAGGAACATTGGGAAAGAAATGTGAATATCTCGAGAACCAGTAAACTTTTGACTGTAATCTTTCTACCATCTGAAAGGACTGTTTCTTAACTTTATCCACGGTTTTGTTTCATTCTAAAAGCTTCAAAACTGACGGAGATATCGCTCAAACGGCAAAACACCTTATAATTCATATATATTTATTTGCTAATTCTTACAAAAAGTAATGTGAGTCAAGGGAAATATATTGGCGCCCGGAAGTCTGGCGGACCGAGTACCATATGATAGAGTATTCCCCGGCGCGGGCGGACAGTTTTTGATCGCATCAGAAGAGGAGAAAATGCTAAAAAACCGGATCTTGTATATTTTCCCATGATTCATCAAAACCTTTTGATTTTAAGCTCAAATAAATCGGAACAAAG